CCAAACTGTTTACAAAAGTAACTATCAAAAAAATACTCCATTACACGTAAAACTCAATTTGTCATGCAGAATATCCCCTTTCACAGTGTTACTTTTTATGTATTGGCATAAAGTATTGCCTTTTTAGAAAATGTTTATTATAGGAAAGTAGAGTTAATGTGTTCATGTGTAATTTTGATGTAGTTCATCATTACTGTTTCTATTGAAACTCCTCATATTTTATCAACTAAATATATGTTGAATGTAAAAGCTTCAGTAACTACAAACTATATCTGTCAAAAGTAGTAGAGTAAAAAATAAAATTTTCCTGTGAAATGTATTCAAATGGAGAAGTATAAAAAGAAATACTCAAGTAAAATACTTGTACCCAAAAATTGTTCTTGAGTAAATGTACTTGGTTGAAAATGAATCAGCCCCTAAAAAGTTCAGGTTTCACAGATACAAGATTGAAATCCAAAAGCAGCAAATTTACGATAGTGACAAAGTTAATATGGGAGAGGACAATCATACATTCTCTATCTGCTACATCAACAGCATTAAGGTGGCCAAATTTGAATTGGGTCAGTAAGCAAGATAAATATTCATAACAATGTTTATCATTTTATTGTATAAACATTAGGCCAGTGACAGCCTGTCTGTGTAAACAACCAACAAGGCAAGTGGGGCTTCTGAATACTGATTAGTTAGCAAATAGCCCAGTCGGCGGAGAATACAGCTTGCAAGGTCTCTGATTACAAGCAATCCTACATTATAGATAAGAAATTTCCTCTAATCTTGGTATTATTATTATTTGTAGTATTCACTGACACGCAGGAATGCTAGCGGTCTTCCTTTTGCTTGTGCAGGGTTCATTGTAGTACCTCTGGATAGTTTCAGATTTGATGAATGTCAGGTTAAATGAGGGATGAAAGTATGTTAATTGTGTTCGATGTTCAATATTCATTGTGCTTGGAATAAAATGTGTCCTCATTAAATGTCAGTAACTACATCCTCTATTCTGTGTCATAGGGCATTTTGTTGTGAATGAGCATCTCTTTAGAAAAACAGTGCGATTTACTCATTGGATGGTGCATATGAAAACACTGTAAATTGGCTGATTTGCCTGAAACAGCATTCCATCAGCAAAATCTAACATGGTGGCTCTTCTTGTGGGAAAAACTGGCTTTGTAAACCTCCGACTAAATTTAAAATGTGACATACCAGACATGACTGGCCAAAACTGATTTAGTGGCTTGTGGTAGTCCAATGCCTTAGTAAAACACTGAATGTTCTAGTTATTTGACTGACCGTCACTGAAATATATCTCTACGTGTGTGATTCAGGGATGTTTCCTCCACAGCTCTGAGTTCCCTCCCCCCTAAAGGGTTAAGGCAGGTGAGGTTTCTGAAAGCCAGCTCTGCCTTTGCTCTGAAGGCCCTCCCGCCACTGGAGAGCCTGGCTGAGCTGCTGGAGGCCGAGCTCACGTACCCTAGCCACTGCTGTGCCTTCCACACATGGCGTCGAAAACAAAGGTAACCGACAACTGCTGCCAGAGATGTAACAAATCCATTCACATCTGCATAAAGAACAAGAGCTCTGTCAAATGAATACAGATCATCAGCAGCATGGTAATTAGCTGTGGAGTTTATTGACATTTTCTGTGGTCTAACATTTCCCCTCTTTTTTTTTTTTTTATTTAAAGGGAAAGTGCCTTAAAGAACTTCACAAAGCTGTGCGATCTCAGCGAAACTGAAACGTAAGCTACTTCACTGGGGACTTAGGGACAGTACAAAAGTTACTGGGGGGGGGGGGGTAAAAAGTAAGACATTAATATTTTCTCTGAACCCTCCCCTTAACTTAGAAAATGTATAATACACTCCCCCAGTATCTCAAACATAACGATATTCAAGTGTACAAAGGATTTAAGATGGAGCACCCCCAAAATTTAACCAAAGGAGTGGAATTAGCAAATGGCAAAATTATGGGAAAAAAATACTTATGTCTGTTTACTGAATGTTTCAGCCGTTCTTCAGCCGCAAAAGCTGCAACTGTCACTTGACATGACACTTCATAGTTTTTGATTTTACTGTAGTTAAAAATAACAAACTCTCCGGAGATATTTAGTTTCTCAAAACTGACATGTTGATCCTATTTGTTTCAAGATGATTTTGATGAGAAAAATAAACTCCTAATACAGGGACATGTTTGCAGTCCTCATATGGCCTGTGACGCAAACAGAAGCCATCGTTTTGATGTAAATATTTGATCTTAAACACAGTTTATTTTCATCAGTAATCTTCAAACATTCTGTGTATTCCTTAGAGAGCCCACTGCAGATGGTGTGAATCTTTTTGACGACATCAACTTTCAGTATCCAGACCTGGAATTTAATTGTCTGAACAACCCCTTCGTCAAGTGCACGCCAAAGCCAGATGCTTTTAACCCTTGTGAGGACCTGCTGGGCTTTCCATTCCTGCGCTGTCTCACCTGGATAATTACAGTTTTCGCTGTGGCTGGTAACCTGGCTGTTCTTGTCATCCTGCTAATTAGCCACCATAAGCTGACCATCTCCAGGTTTCTCATGTGTAACCTGGCCTTCGCCGACCTGTGCATGGGGCTCTACCTGATGCTCATCGCCTTCATGGACTACTACTCCCGTCACAAGTACTATAACCACGCCACAGACTGGCAGACAGGGCATGGATGTGGCATAGCCGGGTTTTTGACTGTGTTTTCCAGCGAGCTCTCAGTATACACACTGACAGTGATTAGCCTAGAACGCTGGCACACCATCACCAATGCCATGCATGTCAACAAGAGGCTCCGGATGCAACATGTGACCGCCATGATGGGGGCAGGGTGGGGGCTCTCTCTGCTGGTTTCCCTGCTCCCTCTAGTGGGGGTCAGCAGTTACAGCAAAGTGAGCATCTGTCTGCCCATGGACATCGACACACCGGCCTCTCAGGTTTATGTGGTGGCTGTGCTCATTTTCAACGTTGTTGCTTTCCTGGTGGTTTGCTACTGTTACATCTGCATATTTCTGAGCGTCCACAACCCAGAGCACTCTACCCATCATGGAGACACTAAGATTGCCAAACGCATGGCTGTGCTCATTTTCACAGACTTTTTGTGCATGGCACCGATCTCCTTCTTTGCCATCTCAGCAGCCCTGCGCATGCCACTCATAACCGTGTCTAACTCAAAGATCCTGCTCATCCTTTTTTATCCCATCAACTCCCTCTGCAACCCTTTCTTGTACACCCTCTTCACACGGGCTTTCAGGAAGGACGTGCGCCTGCTGCTGAGCCGCTGCGGCTGCTGCCATGCCAACACTGACTTCTACAGGTCACAGACTCTGGCTTCGCACCTCAACTCTACCCAGAAAACGTCCACCAGAAAACATCACTCGCATAGCTTCTATGCCTATCACATTAAGATGAAGGGTTGCTTTCTAAACAAGGGAGCCACATGACCATCAACATAGAGAATTGTATTATGAACTTGAAGACAGCATCTGCTGTCTCGCTAAAAATGCATTTCTTCAAACTTTAGGTCAGGTTGAAGAGACTGCTCGTCTTGTACATGGCAGGCGTCAGACCAGATTTGATCTAGGTTAGTTTATAAAGTGTACCACATTACCTGAAACTCTCAAAGTGGCAGGTGGATGGAGCAGGATTGGGGATTAAATAAAACACCAGTTTGTTTGCAAAGCTATCCTAAAGAATTGATGGTCATCAAGATATATAAAACAGCACTTGTGTATGGTGTTGTGACAACCAGATATTTGGTTCTATTAAAGATCAACAGGTAGAAAGTCTTTATTATCCTATCCTTAGAAAGGCTGAGATTTTGAGTTTGAATTAATAAAAAGTAAATATAATCAAATGGAAGTCTTTGTTTTAGCTCATCCGACATCAGTTTTAGTGCCATCTACTGGGTTGTTGTACTCAGGAGACATTTGGACACACTTGAAGACTGCACACATGTCAGAGCAGCCAAGGGACTCAGTTAAAGCTGCAGCCTGGTCTTTGAGAATATTACTGCTGTTCAAAATGTCCTGGATTTTCACAATGACATTTTAATAAAAGAAAAAAAAAGGTGTTCAATTACTCACGCTAACCAACTGTTTCCCCATATAACAGCTGTCGAGACTAACATACCAGGATATACAGTATAGTCCCATGCCAAACCTCCACTTGTATACATATGTTCAGAACACATACCCGAATATGGATTTACCTGGGATGCTTTACCTTTCCAAAAACAGCACTCAGCATCTCATCTGAGAAACTTATTAAGAAGCTCGTATTTACTTTGGTTGACAATGTATTTCTGAAACTGAACATACAAATGCTGGACAGAGAGTCCCTTCAGTGCATCATGTCCAACACATAACTGTGGAAAATGACATGTGGCATTTACATAAGGACATCAGGTTCTGGTGGTGCCACAGATCCTCCTTCTGTGACCATTTATATAGAAGATGTGCTCATTGACTCAGCTGCATACCGTTTAACCCCCCCCCCTTTGTTTTGATTGAATCATTTTTAGAATGAACAAGTAATTTGCAGATATCCTGTTTCGTCTACTCAGAATGAACTTACAACCCCTTGTGGGGGTTCTGACTCCCAGACTGGGAACCACTGCTATAAAGTACACTCTGCGCTAATGTGCACACTACACTATTTAGGATGCAATATTTGAAGCTGGTATACAAGAAAATTAATTTTACAATGTTACACACCAGGCCTGCACCAAAGAATGTTACTAAAATTGCGACAACACTGTCAATGTCAAAATGAAAACTTTTCAAGGATTTGTCACTGATTTTTTTTGTGAGTTGTTGCTGAAGCTGCCACACCACCCTGCATATTTTTCCCCCAGCTGTGAGTAAATACTTGAGTGTCTATCCAAACTACAGTCAAACATACATCAATTTTAGTGTCCATGCTGGCATTTTATGTGTTTGGTTTCAATAGTTTGAATTATTCTTATATGACAACAAGGCAACACTGGCTTTGTACAGGGTTGCACAGAAAGAAAAAAAGGTTTATTAAATGCAGCACAACAGTGCACCTCAGTGTGTTTTAAGCAAGATTAAAGGCAAGACATTACAATGTTTGAAAATCAAATAGCACATTACGAACCTTCAAAGCAACATAATCACGACAGAAGAATACACAGTCCAGGTCAAATAATGTTTTGCTCCACTAATAAAGTAAACTATTCTCCGCACAATATTATACAACATAAATTCATGTTGTTTGCCTTAGATTGGATTCAAATGCAACACTAAGTAATTGGTAGTAAATGACTTGCAGTATTGCTCTGATAATTACATAATGCAAAAAACTAAAACAGAAGTATCAGTGATTTTGGACAGTGGTGTTTTAAACAGCCTGCTCCGTGAGCTAAATTACAGGTCTAAATTCACTGATTGTTTTGCCCTTTCAAATCCTTTTTTTCCCCCTTCTTTCAACACGATTATCTGATGTATGCAAGAAATCTAAAGCTCATTACCACTCGGCTTCCCCAACAGCTTTAGAGAACACATAGTCCCTGCCTCCATAGCACATTACTCCATCTTTCAAATGAAACTTCCAGCGGTTCTTACTGCGGTGGATCTGCAACAGAAAGGAAATATTACAATGTTAACAGTCAGTATTCATCACAGGCAAATGATGGCCAGGAGAGAGACAAAATGTTCTTACTTTGTCATACTGGCAAACGATTACATTGTCAGTGTCAAAGAGATCGGGGATGTCCTGCTCAATCACGTCATCACCTGAATTCAAAGGATCCTAATCAATAGGAAGGGTGGTGTGGGAAACAAACTGTTAAAATGAGCCAAGTCATGTTTTTTTTTTTTGACTGAGAAATGTATTTTCTAGGAAAAGAGGGAACAAATCAACAGGAGTTTTCCCCCTACTGAGATGTTTTAGTGACAAAAAATAAAACAATTCATATCAGGCTCGGTCTCTCTCTCTCTCACCTCTTCCTCTGCATTAACGAGATCATCTGCCCCCTCGCCGTCGCTGCTGGAGGAGATGCTGTTGCCGTCACTGCTGCCATCTCCTTCCTGCAGAGCCTTTATGGCCTCTGCATTGATTATACCCAGAAAGTCATTTTCTTCCAGGGGAACTCCCTCTTCCTCCTCAATGTCAGAGTTGTCAGCAGGACCATCCAGCTGAACGATGTCTGACAGCTGGCTGTAGCTATAATCCAGGTCCAGCTTGGAAGCGAGAAGAAACATGACAGTTATGCCAGGATAATATTTAGAAAAACTTAAGTTGGAGTGGGACTAACTGCTGTGGTAAGATTTCTAGAGAGAGATTCTTTCAAGTTTGCACACCTGAATTGGCTTAAGTTGGTGGCACAGCAGTCTGTTTTGCTGTTACAGTACAGTGTGATGAAAAAAGCCCCAAAAATGCTGGATCCTACACTTAATGTCCTTCAATAAACTACAACACCACCTAGATTTTGTAACACCAGTTGAGTGCCCTTTAAAGGAATAGTCCGACATTTTGGGAAATACTTTCATTTGCTTTCTTGAGGTAGATGAAAAGATAGATACCACTTTATGTCTGTCTAGTAAATATAAAGCTACAGCCAGCAGCTTAGCACAAAGCTAACTGGAAATGATGTGCAAAAGCTTTCACAAAAATATGAGCCCAGTCAGCCACATGGTGGCGCTGTAATTAAGGCTTAAAAATGCAACATTTGAAAGGCCACACCCCTCACACCATAAGTCTAGAAATTCATCACACAAGTCCAGCTGAATGTTTAACAAAAAAGCCTCAAGGAAGCTTAAGGTCCGCCTACAAATAGGTTATGCGATTTTGAATGTTTTGAAAAACGTGTTTAACATCTTCTCCTAGACCTTCTGATTGCCACCACATTTTTACTGGATCATCACCAAGCTGATCAAAAATTAAATAAATCTTGTCGATAAGTTGGGTGTGGCTCTGGAATTACAGTGAGGAAAATAAGTATTTGAACACCCTGCTATTTTGCAAGTTCTCCCACTTAGAAATCATGGAGGGGTCTGAAATTGTCATCGTAGGTGCATGTCCACTGTGAGAGACATAATCTAAAAAAAAAAATAATCCAGAAATCACAATGTATGATTTTTTCAACTATTTATTTGTATGATACAGCTGCAAATAAGTATTTGAACACCTGTCTATCAGCTAGAATTCTGACTCTCAAAGACCTGTTAGTCTGCCTTCAAAATGTCCACCTCCACTCCATTTATTATCCTAAATTAGATGCACCTGTTTGAGGTCATTAGCTGCATGAAGACACCTGTCCACCCCATACAATCAGTAAGAATCCAACTACTAACATGGCCAAGACCAAAGAGCTGTCCAAAGACACTAGAGACAAAATTGTACACCTCCACAAGGCTGGAAAGGGCTACGGGGAAATTGCCAAGCAGCTTGGTGAAAAAAGGTCCACTGTTGGAGCAATCATTAGAGAATGGAAGAAGCTAAACATGACTGTCAATCTCCCTCGGACTGGGGCTCCATGCAAGATCTCACCTCGTGGGGTCTCAATGATCCTAAGAAAGGTGAGAAATCAGCCCAGAACTACACGGGAGGAGCTGGTCAATGACCTGAAAAGAGCTGGGACCACCGTTTCCAAGGTTACTGTTGGTAATACATTAAGACGTCATGGTTTGAAATCATGCATGGCACGGAAGGTTCCCCTGCTTAAACCAGCACATGTCCAGGCCCGTCTTCAGTTTGCCAATGACCATTTGGATGATCCAGAGGAGTCATGGGAGAAAGTCATGTGGTCAGATGAGACCAAAATAGAACTTTTTGGTCATAATTCCACTAACCGTGTTTGGAGGAAGAAGAATGATGAGTACCATCCCAAGAACACCATCCCTACTGTGAAGCATGGGGGTGGTAGCATCATGCTTTGGGGGTGTTTTTCTGCACATGGGACAGGGCGACTGCACTGTATTAAGGAGAGGATGACCGGAGCCATGTATTGCGAGATTTTGGGGAACAACCTCCTTCCCTCAGTTAGAGCATTGAAGATGGGTCGAGGCTGGGTCTTCCAACATGACAATGACCCGAAGCACACAGCCAGGATAACCAAGGAGTGGCTCTGTAAGAAGCACATCAAGGTTGTGGCGTGGCCTAGCCAGACTCCAGACCTAAACCCAATAGAGAATCTTTGGAGGGAGCTCAAACTCCGTGTTTCTCAGCGACAGCCCAAAAACCTGACTGATCTAAAGAAGATCTGTGTGGAGGAGTGGGCCAAAATCCCTCCTGCAGTGTGTGCAAACCTGGTGAAAAACTACAGGAAACATTTGACCTCTGTAATTGCAAACAAAGGCTACTGTACAAAATATTAACATTGATTTTCTCAGGTGTTCAAATACTTATTTGCCGCTGTATCATACAAATAAATAGTTAAAAAATCATACATTGTGATTTCTGGATATTTTTTTTTAGATTATGTCTCTCACAGTGGACATGCACCTACGATGACAATTTCAGACCCCTCCATGATTTCTAAGTGGGAGAACTTGCAAAATAGCAGGGTGTTCAAATACTTATTTTCCTCACTGTATATGGACAAATCAGCAACCATTGGGCCAATCATCACAATTTGTCCTCATGAGTGACCGACATACCCTGAAAGTTTCATTCAAATCAACCTCTAGGGAGCGCAATAAATGCATAATAACTGGACGTGGAATGATACAAAGCTCTCAAGGTCTGGATACTGAAAGTTGATGTCGTCAAAAAGATTCACACCATCTGCAGTGGGCTCTCTAAGGAATACACAGAATGTTTGAAGATTACTGATGAGCAAGAGGTGTTTGAAGGCAGATTTTCTTACCTTTAGACAGAGCCAGGGTAGCCCCCGCGCCATTTCCAGTGTTTTGCTAATCAGTTGCTGGCTCCAGCTGCATATTTAGTTGTATTCATTTTCTCTCAGCAAGAAGGCAAATTAGTGTATTCCCCAAAATCTGGAACTATTAATTTCACAATACACATCTGTGCCTACTTCTGTTTTTAGTATTTGCATAAAATATTCTTTTCAAATTACCCCAAGGACAGCCTCAGACTGGTTGTCAGTCTTAGCAGGCACTAGACTCCTAGCCCTTTCTGCTTTCTCTCTCTCCTCCTCGATCACTTCTTTCAGGATGTCGTCAATGTCTCTGGTCTTTGACGCCCGAGTCAAAGCCTCCTCCGTGCTGATCTGGAAGTCTAATAGCTGACTGCAGGGTGAGGAATTCATACTGAGGTTCACAGGTTCAGGTTGTGGACTCAGCTCGTTCTTTTCCGGCGTGAGCTCTGGCAATTGGGCCCCCTGAAGCTGCAAGGTCTCAGCAGCAGGAACTTGAGGCTTCTGGGGGAGACTGCTCTGCTGACCGGGGGGTAAACTGGAGTTTGGATGTGGCGGCTTTGTGACAGAAGTAGCTGGAACAGACGATGGCTCAACCTCCTGAGGATGGACAGTGTTTGGTGGGACTGCAGCTGACTGAGGGCCAGGCGCTTCTCTCCACTCAGTGACTTTCTGTGTGGGTTGAGATACAGGTTGCTGACCTGCTGGGGCCTGAGTAACCACAACAGGAACGTTGACCTTGTAAAGTTGACCTTAGTGAGACAAAAGGGAGGAGCACTATATATTACAGCCTAATATTACTTGCTAAAAAACTAAAACAGATGTAGGCACATAACAGGTAAAGTCATTGTGTACCAGAAGCTGTTTGTAGAGTGACTCCAGCTGGTATCTGCACAGGGTAAGATAACCCAGCAGGGAGAGAAAAAGTAGCAAGTGTCTCTGAGTTGTTCTGCAATGAAACATCATAACAGGTAACATGTCAGACAAATGAAGTGAATGTGACTGTGGAGGCAAAAAATAACCATAATAATCTGAATCTCTTAAGGAACTGCACACCCAACTGTGACATTTAACCACTGGTGAATACTTATGGTTGACATTTAAATGCTCCTAATGTATAGCAGTTAATTATACTATGACAACCATCTAGCTGAATTTGTGTGGTGTGAATATTTCCAGGAGCTCATTTCATGTGGTGCAATATCAAAAACTTCACTTAACGTATTTCTTTTTTAGGGTTCAAACAAATTCAGGATAGAAAACAATTCTGACACCAAAATGATGAAATATTTAAACTTAAAATATCCACCAGGCAACCAAGAATAAAAATCAAGCCTGAATGTAATTTATCAGACAGGTTAGACACAAATCCGATTGGAGCAACTTAATTTTCTTCTCTTTTTTTTTAAAACTTGACTTTGCTTTTAGATCAGAATTTAAATAAATTAAAATCATTGAACTGTAAAAAAAATTAGAATAAAATTTGTGAAATTACACCACTTTAAAACGAACTTCTGGACAGAGTTAAAACCACAAAGACAGATGGATTATTTTCAAATTGAAATATTTCAATGGTATAAATTCAATGGTATTTAATTTACATTACGTATTCAGTAGAGGTTAAATTTAATAGTAAGAAATCCAGTTGCTTTACAGATTCAAATTATTGACTTTATTGCTTTCATATGTGCCCCTCATGTGATGTGCTACAAATCTTGATGACACTTGCCTTGATTGGGAAACGGTGAATATTCTGACTTGCAGGGATCACAACTGAGCCTGAGAGCAAAAAAATCAGAGCAGAGCAGGTGATGCAAAAATTAGAAGAGTGGGCTGTCTGTGACTTACAGTACAGTGCGCCCTCTATACACATTCATACCACAAACATGTTTATTTTGTCAGAACCAGTTAATTTCAAGCAGGACTGCGTTACCTGTGAGTTCATGATTAGTCTGACTGTAGTTGGCGGGGAGCTGCAGCACAAAGTTGGATGAGTTGATATTGTTTTTCCTAAAGTCTTCCATTGCTTTTGACTGCATCATCTTTGACTCCCAAAGCTGCACATCAGAAGACACAGCAGTCTGTCTTCCTGGTATGGTGCATACTTCCTCACTAGATGATCTAACTTTGCTGTAACTGACAACTTGAGTCAAAATGTGCATTATATGTAGTTTTTAAAAAGTGAAGCGGGTTCAGTAGAATATAACTCACGTGTCTTAAATCGTCCAGGACCCTGTCTTCAAGCCCTTCATCCATGAACAGCTCCCTCATACTCTCAATCACATCATCAATTATGGACAAGTAGAGTTTGGCCTGCAGTTGTTTACAAAAACTGTAAATCAGAAACTGTTGAGCTGCTTGTGGCACATGTACCAAATTCTAGTGGTGCGTCGTCCAAAGAACGTTTCGTTCATTTGACCTAATCTTGTATATGACTCAGGAGGAACGAGTAGTCTGAGGGAGTAATTCGTACATTTAGTCTTGGACTCTTGGACTCGTTCACTCGTCACAAAGCAATTGCATGAGCTCCGTTAGCACCAGTGCTTGAAGTGGGGAAAAAAAAAATAGATGCCAGTCCTCCCCATTAGGCCTAAATACAAAGTAAAATGTTAGTATAATATTAACATATTTACAGGCCACACTTTATTTGGATAGTCTGTCTGCCTGTCATTCATTCATTTTGTGCAAGAAATATGCTCTACATGGTCATTAGTCTCTGATTTGTCCACCCCCAGAAGACTTTGGGCATTAAACACTTAGTTTCTGTACCAATTTATGGTGGAAATGTCTTTTTTTATGTGAAGGGAAACTACGGTGGCAGGTGACAATTCCATATATATATATAAATATAGTGGAATATAATGCAGTACTGAGCAGCTTGTTGTTTAAGCTTAAGATACTTTTTTGGACAATGCACATTTGTTTCTTCATTTCAGTTGCATTGCATGTTTTCTTATTGTGCATTGCGTCATTTGTTATTTAACATTTCTTGTTGCCGTTTTTGGACAAATGCTTTCAAAAAGTGATGGAGACCTTCTGATTCTGACCTGTCCCCAGCGAGAAGGACACCTATCTGTCTATCTTATCTACCTATCTTTTAAATGTCTGCCCCATCCAGGCTGATTGGTCGGTTCACGAAAAGTGACATTGACGAGCTACTTTCAGCACACAGCTGCTTAAAAGGCACCGAGCTTCTCTTCTCCCTCGTCTCTCTCCGCCACAGACGAGAATGTGAGCGTCACGTAGCGCCCAGAGAACTTGATATGGAGAGGGCAGAGGAGAGTACCAGCAGCTTGGGAAAATGTCCCGGTACGCCAAAGAGTGAAATGTCGAGGTGCCGGTGTTCTGTCGATTTATGCTACCTATCGAGATGTGCTACTTAGGGGTTCTGCGCATGTGTATGACCCACAAGCGTGATTTGTTTCCACGCCCATAAATCTGTGCAACCTTGCTGTTGGGAATGCCGTCTAGAAAGTGGCTGATCGTTAGTAACGTCAAAAAAATGAATATGCTACCCATGATATCTTAAATAAAGATAGCATAATATAGTATTTGAACATGCTCCCCATCTCCGTACAGTACACATGGAGTGAGTAGTGGTGCAATATAAAATGATTCTGTGTTGGGAGCATTATTTGATAGATGGATATTAGTTATCAGAATACGCTACCCCTGAAATGATGTAATATAATCAAAAAACAGAATATGTCAATACTGTGAGAGTTATAACTTTATGAGATTGGAAAAAGGAAAACATAAGCTAGCATTTTTCGATAGGGCAGAGCGACTCCATAGTCTCTGCTGTCGATTTGCGCTACGGTAGCATTTTTCGACAAGGCAGCATAGCTCGTCAGAACACCGGTACTGCGTACCGTCCCACTTAAAGCACTGGTTACCACAGGAAACAGAAGTGATTAGCCTAGTTCATGACTCTCAACTGTAGGTCTCTAGGTTTGGTTTGAGTCTTTCATTTGTCACGTGAGCTCGGCTACGGTGGAGCAGGAATGAAGTATTTGTTCACCACTCATATGTGTCCTCCTCAGAGTCTTTTGTTCATTCGGCAGTCTGAGTTACTGCCTGCGCCGGAGAATGAGAGGCAAGTCGGTTGTCGGTAGCAGTTAATGGACTGACACGATCTATTTAGTTAATTATGTGACACTTAATAAAGCATAACGTGAACGAACGAAATGACTCAAAATCATTAGTTCATTTTAATTAACGATATTTGAAGATTCGAATCTGTCAAGAATTGACTTCCCCATGTTCCCCATTACTCTTCACTTTGCATTTAAGTCAGTGTTAATGGAATAAAATGTTTTCTGGGCAGACTTCTTACAGGGACAAAAACATTGTTGATGTTACTGCTAATACTAGGTGGTGTTAACACAGAGCTAACGTTTACATGTGACCTAACGTTAATTGGTAGATTTCTGGATGAGAATTTGCTTGACACACATGATGAATTAAACATCACTGAGCTAGTCCAAGTAAATAGCTCGAGGCTCAGAATAAATTGCCTATATTTGAATAGAAACTGTGCTTTCATTTATTAGGCTACTTGACTTATATACAGGCCAACACACACCAAATAGCTTTGCTGTTAGTTAGCTTCTAGCAAAAAGGAAGCTAAGGCTATTAGTTAGCCTCTAACAACACTAGCTGAAAAGCAGCTTTGCTTACCACTGGGCCTGTGTTGGTCAGCATGATTCAAGGCAAAAGTAACTGTGGTCCGGTAACAATGGACTTTGGAAACATACAGTTAACAGTGATGAAGTCAGATTGTTTTGCCCGGAACGTGTGCACACACAGGTGAAGGTAATCAAGCTTCACAGTGGAATGTGATTGGAGCAGAGACCTTCAGGGTTTGCGATGGACTGGCGACCTGTCCAGGGTGTACCCCGCCTTTCGCCCGATGCCGGCTGGGATTGGCTCCAGGCCCCCGCGACCCTGTGCGCAGGATGAACTGTTGACGATGGTTGGATGGATGGATGGATGGACCTTCAGGCCTCTCAAGTCTCACGCATTGATTTCAACCATACAGTCTATGGTCTGATCAGTCAATATCTGTCAGTAATATAAATTAAAAAAAAATCATTATTAGTCAGAATACCCTACCCCTGAAATCAAAAACAGAATATGTCATAAAATACTGTGAGAGTTATACCTTCATGGGATTGAAAAAGGGAACACATAAGGTAGCATTTTTCGATAGGGCAGAGCGACTGGATAGTCTCTGCTATCGATTTGCGCTATGGTAGCATTTTTCAACAAGGCAGCATTGATCGTCAGAACACCGGGTCGCTTGTGCGTCTTCGGACGAACTTCAGCTTCTGGTGGGGAAAACGGAGACTTTTATTCCTCTTCTGTGCTTCAAGGAGACCTGGCTGTCTGAACTGATACCGGACTCCGGGCTGCAGCTAGGCTTCCAACTCTCCGGCAAAACAAAAGGTGGAGGTGTCTGTTTCTATATTAACAATGGCTGGTGTACCGACGTGACAGTGATTCAGCAGCACTGTTCTCCTAATCTGGAATTTCTTATCATTAACTGTAAACCGTTTTACTCCCCCCGTGAGTTTGCTTCATTCACTGGTCAGTGTTTACATCTCGCCGCACGCCAACATTCAGGATACACAGAGCATGCTGGCCGACCGGATACTGTGTGGAACAGACAAACCCAGACTCCCTTGTTGTTGTTCGGTGACTTTAACGGGAAATCTCAGCCAAATACAGACAGTTTATAAAGTGTCCAACCAGAGAGGGGAACACTTTGGATCACTGCTACACCACAGTTAGCAGTGCCTATCACGCCGTCACACACTCTGATCATGTGATGGTCCATCTGATTCCTGCTTACAGGTAAAAACTAAAGCTCTGTAAACCTGTTGTGAGGACATCAAAGAAGTGGACTAGTGAAGCTGTTGAGGACCTCCAGGCATGTTTGGACCGTACTCCCTGGGATGTTTTCAAGAATGCTACCAACAATCTGGATGAGTTTACAGAGGCTGTGACATCCTACATCAACTTCTGTGAGGACAGCTGCATCCCAACACGGAGAGGGTGAGTTATAACAATGACAAACCCTGGTTTAAAGCTAAAAATAAGACAGCTAAGGTTGAAAAAGGAGGAGTGGTGACAGGGCCGGTGCAGGGCGTTAAAGTACAGGTTTAGCAGAGAGGGGCGAGAAGCTAAACGACTGAACTCAGAGAGACTAAAGAACCAGTTCTCTGCAAACGACGCCACTTCTGTCTGGAGGGGGTTCAGACAGATCACAAACTATAAACCCAAAGTCCCCCACTCCATAAACGATTCTCACCTAGCAAATGAGCTGAACCAGTTCCACTGCCGCTTTGAGAGTCAATCGGACACCATCCCCCGTGACTCCTCTGCTCAGCTTCAGCCTCAGTCCACCACTTCTTCCCCTCCCTCCTCAGAGCTGGCCAGCTCCACTCCCTCCCCTCCTCTCTCCATCACAGAGAGGGATGTCAACGGTCTTTTCAGGAGGCAGAAACCCCGCAAAGCAGCTGGGCCGGACTCTGTCTCCCCATCCACCCTGAAGCACTGTGCTGATCAGCTGTCACTACACTGTGTTCACAGACATTTTTAACACCTCACTGGAGACATGCCATGTGCCAGCCTGCTTCAAAGCCTCCACTATCATCCCTGTCCCACTGGACTTAACGACTTCAGACCCGTCGCCCTGACCTCTGTGGTTATGAAGTCCTTTGAACGCCTTGTGTTGTCCCACCTAAAATCCATTACAGACCCACTCCTGGACCCCCTGCAGTTCACCTACAGAGCCAACAGGTCTGTAGATGATGCAGTAAACATGGCCCTTACTACATCCTCCAGCACCTGGACTCCCCAGGAACCTACGCCAGGATCCTGTTTGTGGATTTCAGCTCTGCTTTTAACACCATCATCCCGGCCCTGCTGCAGGACAAGCTCTCTCAGCTGAGCGTGCCTGACTCCACCTGCAGGTGGATCACTGACTTCCTGACGGACAGGAAGCAGCACGTGAAGCCGGGAAAACATGTCTCTGATTCCAGGATTATCAGCACTGGTTCCTCTCAAGGCTGCGTTCTTTCCCCCCTGCTCTTCTCCCTGTACACCAACAGCTGCACCTCCAGTCACCAGTCTGTCAAGCTCCTGAAGTTTGCGGATGACACCACCCTCATTGGGCTCATCTCAGGTGGGGATGAGTCCGCCTACAGGTGGGAGATCGACCATCTGGTGACCTGGTGCAGCCAGAACAGTCTGGAGCTCAACGCTCTGAAGACCGTGTAGATGGTCGTGGACTTCAGAAAGAGCACAGCCCCACCCTCCCCCATCATTCTGTGTGACTCCCCAGTCACCACTGTGGACTCCTTCCGCTTCCTGGGCACCATCATCTCCCAGGACCTCGAGTGGGAGCTGAACATCACCTCCCTCACCAAGAAGGCCCAGCAGAGGATGTACTTCCTGCGGCAGCTGAAGAAGTTCAGCCTGCCAAAGACAATGATGGTGCACTTCTACACCGCCATCATTGAGTCCATCCTCACCTCCTCCATCACCATCTGGTACGCTGCTGCCACTGCCAGGGACAAAAGCAGGCTGCAGCACATCGTTCGCTCTGCAGAGAAGGTGATTGCTTGCAATCTTCCTTCTCTTCTGGACCTTACGCCTCGAGGACTCTGAGACGAGCAGGAAAGATTTCAGCTGACCCCTCCCACCCCGGACACAAACTTGTTTCAGACTCTCCCCTCTGGCAGGAGGCTGCGGTCCATTAGGACCAAAACCTCTCGCCACAAAAACAGTTTCTTCCCGTCTGCAACTAGTCACATTAACAAGGCCCGGGTCCCCCACTGACACTCCCCCCTTGCAAATGATACAAATGTCTCTGCACATGTAAATACTGTTTCATCTCGTGTCGGGCACAGACTTGGCACGTCGCACATATTTGTTGTTGATTGTTGATTTTTGTTGTATATTTATATGGACGCAATATTCTCTTCCGTTGCGTTACTTCTGCACGGCACAGACCCAGAATAATGCACATGTATATATCTGCAAGGTTGTTCTTCCATTCCATATTTATATATTTCTACATTTATTTGTGACGACTGTATGTTTGTCTACGTGTAGCAACTTATCACCACAGCAAATTCCTCGTATGTGTAAAACACTACTTGGCAATAAAGCTCCTTCTGATTCTGATTATTTAGCTTTAGCTACCAGAAACTAAGGAAAGAACTAGAGATGGTCTTCTATATTTTGGCTCTGGGCGGAACACTACCATTCATTACGACAGTGAAAATGGCTGGCCTTGAGCCATAGGGCTTTAAGTGGGAGCACCCCCCACCCCTCGTCGTCAAGGCATTAAAATGCGCAACAAACACAACACCATTTATAAGCTGAAATGTGTAGCCTATTACAATATCTATTTTTCCTAATATTAAATATGGCTTCAGTATCGTAGTAGTGGCTTAGTTCTCTGTAGCTTATCTCAACTGTCTAGTTTTAGAGACCATGGTTTTCTTGCCACATGTAGTTTTCTGGTTACTTTCAATAGAAAAGTTACACTGTTGAACATTTTCCTCAGTGCTGGGAGCTCAGTAGTACAGTCTCTGATCCAAAGAGTGCACAATGCCAAGAGTTAAAAATATTTCACCCTTTATAAAATACTTAATTTTGCACTTGGTGTTCAATCTGTTCAGCAGCAGCAGCAGGAGCCGTGACCCCTGCTTCCTCCAAGCATCTGTTTGGCAATGCTGGCACTCTTTCAACACTGTAGGTTGACTACTCTTCTGAGGACGAGAGCGCTGCGGCTGAAAAGCAGCAACATGAGACACCCCTGTGGATACTGCAGTCGCTGAAATTAACAGCCACTTAGCTGTCACTTCACTTTAAAGCTACTGTGGACACAGATGGAAGCTCTTTGAATTATAAGATGATCCTTTATTTATTCCCTTATATAAACAGTATTACATTATCTATGTTCTGTATTAGCCTGTACGTATGGGCTCAGAGATGGAAAAGATTTGGTCATTGAAAATTGAGATTGAATGTAATTAAAGTAATGGAAGTAACCATGGTCAATTTACTGTCACAAACACTGCCCCTTGTGGTGATCAACCAGAACAACAACTGGGGGGATTGATTTAAAACCTGTTGTAGTCACAAATATAATCTTCAGTTAAGCTGATTGTGATATAATTCTTCATACATTATTTTGATAAATGGAGTGTAATGGTTGTCATTTAAGGTGAAACTTTGTACTCACCTTTAGGGTTAAGGCACCACCACTTTTGTGTGTTCAAAGACCATAAAAACACGCAATACACGTACAATTAATAACATGAAACAAGTAAGACTTACGGTTCAAGGGTGAAACAGAGTCCAATGTTTTTGGATGTTAATTCTTCAGGAGGAGAGACTCAAAAGGTCCAAGGTTGAGGCTTTGTAGAGTAGTGACTCATCACCACGGGGGCCAATGTGAACAGTACTGCATTAAAAACACAGCAGCTCTCTTGTGAAACTATATTGTTAAATGTGCGGTTTTGAATCGCATTAACCACGGCTGTCAGCAGTGTGTTTCCCAAAGTGGCAAATTCAATCCAGGGTAAGTAAATAATTCTTCTGTACCTGCACACTATCACAGGTAATCAAATAAAACTCAGACAAATAAAATCACACAGCTTGCAGCGCATTAGAAAATAATTTCCTACATATCATGTGGCATTTATTGAGCTGCCTGCCATTAGTCACTGCTGGATGTCTTAGTATCTTAACAGTGTTGTGATGATGGGCAAAATTGAGTTGAGTTGAGTGTTTTGACACTCCTTTGTTCAATGAATAAAGTATTATTGTGGCGTTTCCTGCAGGTGCACTTCTCCAGGTTTATGGGACCACAACCAAGGCTTTGTGTGTCTGTGGTTAGATTACTCCTGACAGTATCAGAGTGTATGTTCTGTTTCATAATACAAAATGTGAGTGTGTGGTACAGACACTTCAAGTCCTGTGAACATCTGTGAAGAAATACCACGAGTCACTTCAGATTTCATAAAATTTTTACTCTTAATGTACATAACATCCAGCTTAAGCCAGGTACCTCATACATAAAATCATCATCGAAGGCCTTTTGTTCACTGTGAAGCTTCCCCATTCTTTTTTAAATCCAACCTATTCACAACCCAGAGGCAAAAAAATCACATAATAAAGATTTGATATGTTTAAATAAAATTACAGTCCTCCATAATACAACCATAGTATGAAGTCAAAGGTCATCTTGAGGTAAGCAGCAAAAGCAATGAGTTGTATTCTATGTGGGAAAAAAAAAATAATGAAATCAATGAATCATATAACGCTACAAAAGGCTGGCCATAATAGGTTGTAGTCAGTTGGTTATTATGCTGTTGGGTTGCTTTCAAACTGCAACTGCTGTTTCTCTTTGTGAATGCACTTTGTATTTGTCAAAAGCACGACAGTTGTTGTTCATTTAAGAAATCATTTTGTAGCTTTTGGGGAAATGCACTTGTAAAAATGATTTAATTATCCGTTTGTCTCATGTTGCTTGGAACCTTTGATCAGAGAGTTTCATTGCTGAAAAAGGCTGCTAATAAGCATGGCCCGAGTCAATTCAACCAAATTGTTCTAATAACTGTGATTAAGTCACTTAAGACAAATGCTGCTCTGTGGGGCTCAGCATGGTGTGACCCACTTTTGAACCAACGTTATTTTGTGTAACAATAATTACATTACAGTAGTCCTTTTTCCACATTTTTTTTTACATTGTTTTTTTCTGACACTTCCTGATACATGGGGTTACCTACATATGGACTGAAACTTATTGAGGTTTTTAGAGCACAGCAATCAAAAATCATCTTCCCACTGCCACATTTTAGTACACGTGGAGGATTCATACCTTAATGATTGAGTGTCTAAGTATGTGAACTTTAAACATTGCTGGGCAACAAAAGCGACTGACCCTAAACATCTGCTGATAAGCCTTTCTCAAACAGTGAATATTGCTCATTACTTAAGCTGTTTATCTCATACAGCCCGTCCGCATTCATTTATTAAGGCATTTACTACGGTTGCCAAACATTCTGGAGGGCAGTGCAGATGATGCAAATGCAAGCTTGTATACACTACTCATATAAACTGTAATCTTAGTTAATACATCTATTAAATGTAAAGTGCTAGGCAAAAGGGCCGTGTTAAATTGTTTATTAGGTCTAGACTAATTCAGTCTCAGTTTAAAGGATACAAAATCAGCTAACATCCATGAGAAATATAACCAGGCTATGTTTAATTAGATGAATCTGACACCAGATATAAGCAGAAAGTCCCTCATCACCCTTGCTTTTGTTCAATTTTGGTTATCCCTTTTCACCATTAAGACGATTTTGGCAAATATCCTGGTCCAAAGGGATAATGTCCTCTTCAAAGCTTCTTTAATAATCATTGTGTCATACAGCCAGATTGCCTCTGCGACTCTGTTTCAATCCATTTCCTCTCCACTTCCACCTAAAAAAACAACCACAAAGTTAGATTAGTTGCACTAATAAATAAAGATATTTCTTTATCTACATTAAGGTAGGTGCAGGTACTGAGACAAGATATTATTCCCCCGATGAAACATCTTACCTGACAATGATAGCGTGTCCAGCTGGTCACGTGTTTCTGTGGCTGGATGTCGTTCGCAGTACCCAGTGACTTCACCCTGGTCTGTGACACAACAGCGCCCATAATTTCACATTCCATCGTGACAAAAGGGTACCAGTCACTTGGGATCTCTTGATCAGATCCCAGCTCTAGCTTGCAGGAAAATGAATGGGGATGATCCACTGCTGCAAAAGGAGAAAACAAAGGTTGCTTGTAATTAGACTGCAACACCACTGAGGGGCAAACAAACTGTACACATGCACAAGAATACAAGGCCGAGAAGCTAATGAGAAAATGATATGTTGAGCTTTTAGTGTAGGGCTAAATGTTAATCTCTCGGAAATGTGTTACCCGTATTCTTTGCAGGCAGTCTGTCGATCCGCCAGACGATGGCTGAATATACATTCTCATACTTGACAGTGCCGACTGTAACCTGCATGACAGGCTGAGAGTCTGCAGCACTGATGGAGCCCAAGCAGGCATTTCTGTTCATACGGGCCTTCAGTGACCTCTGTCGCAGTAAGGCCACGGTCTGTGTCACTTTGATCCAGTCGCCCGGCACCGGCACACGGATCACTACATTCTCACACAGTGGGTATGTGTCAGACACCCCCATGGAGGAAAGGAAGGTGGCAGACATGTTAAGAAAGGCCTGGAGCTCCACATAGGCACCTTGTACTGTCACCACAGCTTTGATCGAGAAGGGAATCTCCGTGCAACCCAAAATCGCCGTCTTGTACCGCATCAGCTCCACCCTGCAGGCCTCAGGAGGGAAGAACTTAATTAGCCGGGACCTCTGAAACTCCGTCTCATTCACGCATTTGTGAAAGTGGCAGTCGGTGATCTCCATCCAGAGTTCACTGCCCTCCTCAGACCCGTAGCTGGAGTCAATGCGCAGCAGCCCGAGATCGTTAAGGGCAAGGAAACAATCCCCTAGTCCATTCAGAAAAGCCAGACAGTGAATTTGGGTGAAGGCTGCCCGCTCCATGACTCCTCCACACTTATCCAGTTGTACCCAGATATGATCAGTGATCTGCATTGACAGCTCCTGCTCCTCATAGTGCCGCCTCTGCTGGTGGGGCATATTCAGTTTAAAGATTTCCTCTTCCATGGAGACTACCAGGTCCTCCATGTCGTCATGCACTGTGGAGCCAAACTTGAGCAGCTGCTCTACCTCCGCCTCATGACTAACCTCCAACTTAGGGTGGTAGCGTTTCTTTTCCGTGTACGAGAAATGCTCCACCTTGAGCGAGACCACTTTACGGGGTTCGCCGTAGCTTTCGAGCTTCAGATCCGAGAGCCTACACTGAGGGAGAAGCTGGAACTCCTTGAACGGCTTCTCCAGCCCTTTCTCATAGTACATCTGCAGCACACCTCCTGGCAGCAAGCGGAGATAGATCGGCCCCCACTGCCGCGAGGACATGCGGTTCTTTTTTTCTGGAATCCTGAGCATGACAGACCAGCCGTCTCTCTTCTGGCTACGAAAGAGACCCCGGGGAACGAACTGAGATGAACCATCGCTTAGCACCTCATCTTTGCAACTTAGCCGCCTCTCCCCATCTTTTTCTGTCTCTGTTTCGTGGTCAATTTCTGCTCGTAGGTCTTCCAATTTGGAGCAAACGTAGGAGAAGTTCTGGAGTTGGTCGCGTGAAGGCTCACTGCCGTCTTTGGTCCGAATAAAGAAACGCGGTAGACTGTTGTCAGATTCCGAGTCTGAGGAGGAGCTGCCCACATCTGCGCTGAGTGTAGATCCACCCCAGAAGGGGTTATAGTGTCCTGAGTTTCCCTGGAAAGAAGGAAAAGGGCTTGGTCCATCTGAGGTTTGATTCACGGCCTCTGGTGCAGGAGAAGGAACAGAGGTGGTCGAAGTGCTGGAGAGACTCCGGAAGAAGTCGTTCTTTTCCCACGTGTTGGAGTTAAACTGGGGCACACTGCTAGGAACCCCACTCACAGGAGTGCAAAAGGGCACATTACATGGTACACAGGAGCTTCTGCTAACACTCGAGTGGCTTTGAGGGGATTCCAGGGAACTACTCATGCTCCAGGAAGTATCTCTGATTGGAGGAAGCACTAATTTCAAGCCATTGGGACGCGGTACTGATGCTTTGATAAGCCCTTGTGACTGTAAGGGCTTCTGAGGTGATGAGAGGGGCATGTTGTCATCTTCAAATGTGACCCAGTTTGAGTGATTTGTGGAACACATGGCTGAAGAGGACTGATGAATGGTTAAAGACAACAAGTCCTCCTTTGTTGGGTTAACTGTCCCCCCCACTTCAGATGCCTTCTCCTCTGCAAGTAAACAAACAAGAAGAATTAGAGAACATTATATAAAAAAGTAACATCTTAAAAGTAATTTTTTTAAAAGGTAAAATCTCAAGCTATTCCAGAGGCAACACACGTGCTCTTGGCAAGATCAATTCTCATTTGAAAGCTTGAACAAGTCAATTTATCCTGAAGAGAGAGAGAGAGAGAGCTCCAGGGGATATAAATAAAACATATTTCCTTGAGGTAGGTACTCCATTAAAAGTTAATAAGATACTGACCTTGAAAATCGGGAACATATCTATATATCTCTATATATATATAGCTCTCTCTCTCTCTCTCTCTCTATCTATATATATATATATATACACATATACACACACACATACATCACAGTTAACTAAGGCTAATTTTATGTAAACGCTCAAGTAAGCATTCTGCAATTCACTGTCAGAGAAGCAGCAGATTTTCTCTGTGACACCACAGACGAATCCTTTTGACGAATCCTTCATACAGACATTTTATTTTTTTAAGCGAGCTGTCTTGCGAGTGCCCGATCAGAATAGTATCAACGATCTTTTTTATAGTTTCAACTAACTTTATGCATGTGCCATGAAGTTGGCAGAGTTCAATACAAGTTCAATAAAATGCAAGCGCATATATTTTCCCCTTTTCTTTGTTTGGTTAATTTTTGAAAGCAGCAGAGAAAAGGATGCAGCGCTGTAGCCTTTATTCTTAACTGTGTTTGTACTGCAGGCTTGAAAACAAAGAGTACCGCTCTTTCTCCATACATGGGTGAGGCAAACAACACACTACTGTGATTCTTATTGAAGTTCAATACATTGACAAGTGCATAACAAAATTATTCTTCCATTCAAATTTTGGAAAACAAATATTAGTCTGAAGAACAACACCCGGGCTGGGTTTCTCACAGGATTGTGTGGTGTAGATGTGATGCGTTTTTAGAAGCTCCTACTGGAGCTGAGGAGTATTTTTGAGAAGCCTGTTTCCTGTTTTCAAAAGGAGTTTAAAGTTTTGGACTTTCAAATGCTTTGTAATGCAAATTGATGAGGTGAAATGATGTATCTTAGACATGCTGTGCTTTGGAATGAGCATGGTCTAAATATTTAATAGCAAGCCTGCTCTAAAATGCGCAAGAAAAGTTAGTCATGGCGGGAAAAAGGCTCCTGCATGAAGCAGTATCAGAGAAGGAACAAAGCTGGTAAAATGTGGCATCTCTGGAATATGTGTTTTAACCTCTGATATTAGATCTGCAGGACATATTTCAATATTGATGTTAAATGTTGAAAGCATGTTGGAATATTGCTAAACAGCAATGGTATGCAGGCTAATTATCCAATGGGCAGAGTAAAAATGTTTTAATCTTTATACAGCTTGCATTTAATTTTCCTCCTAGTCAATCACTATCTGTCTTTTGATGTGCTAGCAGCTCGGCTTTCACCAGCATCCGGCTCAGAGGCCACAGAGATGCCACTTTCAAAATGCTCAAGCCTTATCTCCCCCATAAAACAAATCTTGCAAACAATAATTGAAAGCAGAACGCCTCAATTACAGTCTTCCTCCTCCCTTCAAGATCACAGCCAAGTTGCATGAAGGAGAAATCCAGTGGCAAGTTCCTCTAGCTATAAATAAACAGGGACGCGGGGGCTCTGATTTGGGGTAGTGGATTGACAAGTTCTCAGTCAAACACTGGAGAACATCTTTCTAATGAGAGGATGTTTGCAATGTTCACCCCTCCTCTCCGACTAACAGAATCCCGCAGCTTTGGTTCAAAGAGACGGCCAGGGAGAAGGATGAGTTCTCCACAGGGGTTACTGACAGTCTTTCACACTCATTTCCAGTCTGCCATCTCTTCCTGGGCTCTCCAGCAGGCAGTACAGAAATGAGACTGTGCTAAATCTACAGAGGACAAAAGAATACATTCCAAACATTCCTCGGGGACAAGCAGCTTTGCACACAGGAAATACCAGCTTGCTCTATTCGTGTGAACTGACAGCAAATATTATCTTAATGTCATTTTATCAAATTTTCAGAAATGCACCAGATTTACAGGTCTTCAACTCTAGTTTGTCCTCCACCACTGCAAAGGTAAAAAAAACAGTGACAAAGAAGGAGCCTGGGGATTAAAACAGCAGCCATTAGGTGCTTTATAAACATAAAGTATGTCTGAGGATTTACTTTTACAAGTTTAGCCTTATTTTTTATTGTTATCATCAGCCCAAAGGGTGTGAAGAAATCTCACAAGGTCACACACAAAAGTAATGAAAACACAAGAATTGTACTCTTACAAATATTGTACAGCTTTGGTCCAAGTTAAATTGAAGTACTGCAATCAAGACCAAGAGTAGGCTAATCCCCTGCTGTATTCTCAGGTTTATCATCGCTGATTATTACTATACTTACATAAATTAGTAAACTTGCAAAACCCGGGGTAGTCAAAATAACATACACACCTCATGGATAATAGCTGAAAGTGTGAAGTCACTTAATGATAATCATTGGGTCGAACTGAGTCTTAAAGTGTTGCCCAATGGATGCATTTGTCGGCTTTAGAAAAGGGCCACTCAGCACTTTGAAATACAGGTCCTGAAAGCTGCAAGACTAAACTAAAACTCCAAACAGATCAAATTACAGGTCAAAAAACTGCAAAAATGATTTAACATGTGAATACTGTGCGACTAGAAATATCGTGAGTCTGTATTCACAGAGATTCCAAACCACAAAGAGGAACAGCAAATACAAGCTGATACTAACTAACAGGGATATGAGAAAACAAACATCTTGGTGATTTTTTCCGTCGAGATAGATTCATGATTATTTACTTATAGATTAAAGTTCATCTTCTTGAGGAGTTCCTGTTATTTCTACTGTATTGACTACTGAGTCGAGAGTAGAAAGTGCAAATTTCTTGATGACGGGAAGCCATTTTTGACAGTCTCCTGACACATGATGACTTACAGGATACTATTGTGGCATATTAAGAATAAAACTGCTGAATTTAAAAAAAGTATTTAAACTTAGTGGACAGATGCTTCCTGATTAAATGAGACGAGTTCCTGTTGGATTCTCTGGGACATTCCTGTATACTCACCACAGAGTAGGCCGTTTCTTTGGAAAAGTATATAAATAAATACAACAAGATACTACCCCGACGGGAGAGTACTACTGTTGTGACCACAATGACTGTGTAATCTAGCACAGAGATGAAAATGTGATGACCCATTTGCCATCGGCAACACAGTGAGCTGCCATCAAACAAAGCAGGAGAGAAAACCAATATTAGGTCATTTATGAACATTAATTCCAAGATAACCTGCATTTACTGTGGAGATTTGTTCCAGTTCAGAAAAACATGACTGGAAAAAATAAACAGGAGTGAATGGGAGACGGTTGTGTCAACTTTTTCCACAATTGCAATGCATGCAGTTTTCTTTTCTTTTATCTCAGGCATTTAGGGATGAACTAATAATAAACTCAAGGACTTTTTTTTTTTTCAGTATCCTTAAAGCAAAACTGTGTAACTTTTGAAAGAGGCAGTAACACACACTTCCCTTTACAGAGGAAAGGTTTAGTTCATAAGCAATAAAACACATAACTACTCTGGTCAATAATACACTCAGGGATTTTACTGCCCTCTCTTACTTTGTCTGGAAGCTTTAGGTTGTTAAATAGTTGCTAAGGTTATAAAACCGTAGCAGACATTGCTGACTTTGTGACTCTTCTTCACTCTTGCTATTGTTAAGCGTCCATTGTGGCAACAGCTCGTCAACAGTTAGCTTACATGGACACGTTTGCATGTTATACTAATAGACGGCACCGAAAAAATGTTCGCGAAGGGACAAAAAATAAACATGCAATGAATGTCATCGACATGTACACATAAACCGAAACACATCGTGGTACACTGTTGCACTATTGTTGCCAAAGCGTTCTTGCAGCGTGGACGCACTAAATGCCAGCCAAACACACGAGTTACCGGTAAACAACTTCCTTTCTTTTGCCCATGGCAACTCAGGATGGAGAAAGAAAACAGTACCAGCATGCTGTCACCCACAACTGAGCCAGGCCCGTGACCCGGGACAGAGGGGCCCACTTCTGGGATCAGTTCTGCGCCTTTGTTTTGATGCGAGGTCTGTGTAAAGTTGTCACTCGGCCTTACTTCTGTCGTTTCAGTGAGTAAAACACGAGCCGTCCACTCATAAACGAGCCACGACTGACAACAGACTGAGTCAACATTTACGAAGGCAGCAGACCAGAACAGTTTTTAAAGTGGTGCCTAACGTGACTTGAACTACCGCGGCTCCCTCTCAAAGCAGACCAGGGGGGGAAAGAAATACTCACGAATTCACAGAGGTAGTTCACTTATTTCAGGTCATGACTTGTGTTTAATTCGACGCGTCTGAGCGCTGATGTCGGTCGGTTTTCCTCAAAATGGCAGAGTGTAAATCCTGGGAGTTGTAACAGTGCAGCGCTTTTCCTCCCGAGTCCAGACAGACTGTCCTACAGCGGGACACTGCAGGAACCAACAGAGCAGTGCTGCGTTCGTGACTGTAGGAAATATCGGTATCAGAAGGAGGTGGGCGCGCAAATCACAACAAGACACTCAAGTAAGAGAGTGAATATATATCAAACATACACATTCTGGGGAAATAATTAAGGCCTAATGGTTATATCTCCAATCGCTGAATATACAACAATGTGTCAAAACTGGACAACTGTAACTATTACAACTCAAAGTTTATGTCCCATATATAGTCTCTAATTACAACTTTGGCCTAATGGCACTGTTACAATAATTAAAATTTAACAAAGTAGAATAAAAAGGTGAATCACAGCACCTACAAGAACATAATATATAAAGTACTGTATATAACAGTACACCATTTCAAGCAGGGTATTTTGGGAAGCCACTTTTCCACCACTGCTTCTCTTGTTCATATATTAATTCTGCACGCACTGATCGTGTTTCTTGAATTAAAAGAAAGAAAACCACTAATAATGTGTTTTGTCCTTATCCTCCACTATTACTGGTCAAAAGTGCTTGAATGCACAAACACTTGGTGATTATTCCTGTTTTTACCTCTTAAGTTGTGTACCACAAGTACATGAAAGCATCATGAATTCAACTAAAGTTACACATATTTTTCCTTCCAAAACAAAGTGACGGCATTAAACAGTAATCTTCCAGTTCTCATATGTCCAGTTCAATGGTGCTGCCTCATTTCCCAGTGGCATGGGTGTGTTACAGGCTGCTTTTTTTCCCCATGTATATATAAAGTTAGGTAAGGTGAATCTAAATACACGAATCATTTAAATGTTAAACAAGCCTTTTATTTAGTTTCACATATTTATATGTGCTTTTGAACAGGTTACATTGTGAGAATACAAGCATTATTCTATATCGGTTTAGGGCGTGTTGGCTTTTCTTTGTGGTCAAAGTTTTGCTGGCAGGTGTAGACTGGCAAACAAGAGGTTTGAATGAACTGCTCACAGCCTCAGCTGGGATTTTCTTTCATTTACTTCATGTCACTACAAGCCAAAGAGGTTCTACTTTTACTGTAAACTTTAACTGCACTCTGCCATGACCGGCCATGACTCATGAATCAGGTTGTCTAAGCACCAGTTACAGTATGGGCCAACCCTTCTATGATACTTCCAGCAATCTAGGCTGTTAGGATACACACAGAAAACTAGCTGCAGATTCAGTTGTCGAAATTTTGTGGAAAATAAAGATTTGTAACATCTGAATAAATGCCTTTTTGTATATATATTAGAAATAATACAGTACAATTAGATCATGATTTCAAATGTGTATATTCACATAACCCTTTTTGTCCACACATTACAACATGAATTGAGAGACCGTTGTGTCACACCACGCCTCTGAGTGCACATACAAACTTACTTTGGTGATAAAAACAACTATTGTTACAGAGTAACTTCACAGAGACAGACTAACACCATTTTACGAGCTCCGACTTGTCCATTCTACCCTAATTCAGTTTTTCTTTTCCTTTCACCACTCCCAGAGGACTGGACATTTTCCAAAATGAGGAATGAATTCAAGTGTTTCTTTTGTGGGTTGATCATTTAGGTTTTAAAGCCCTTCTTTACAGAAGCTTGTGATCGATGCATGTGCTGTAAGGGAGTATTTATGTTGTTTGTGGACAGACAGGCCCTTGGAATCACTTCCACATATAACCTCAAATCTGATCTAAAACAAAAGAAAAATCTAAGTGTAAAACAATACTCACACACGCCATGAGACAACACTCTGTGCACACACAGCCACACCAACATTTACTCTGTTCGCCTGCTCCCACAAATAAGCAGTAAGAATCTCTCACACGTACGTTAAGCAGGGAAATTACACACTGATCAACAGGGTTTGGTCTTCAAGTCTTGATTTCAGTGAGCATTACCAACTTCAGCTGTTTAATCTTCCTCTGTCCCGTTTGGGGAAAAGTGGTCTCTCTCCCACCCTTGCTTTAGCCAAAAGGTCAAGCAGCCGCTTCCGGTATTGTTTCCAAAAGCATTTTTTTTAGCAAATCATGTTGTGTTATAACTGGTGCTGTGACAACAAGGAAACGGGGGGAAAAAAGTGTCTTCAGTCAAACATGTTCAAGCCTCCATACAGTTCATTTGTACTGCCACTGCCTGATGATGGAGGAATCTGAAGCCGTCCTGTGGGTTTGGTGACTGTGTTAGTGTGCCAGGACTCTGCTGGGAGGCTCCACAGACCAGATCTTCTCTCAAGGTGCCCTTTGTGATGCCAAACGGAGCCAGAGTTGAGGGCAGCTCTAGCGTCCTTTGTTCTTTTTGGCGTTTCCCTAAAGGTAACAGAAAATGTACGAGCTCAGTTCTGCAAAAACTTCACAGGATTGGTGATTGCTAGCTACAGGAGAAACATGTGTTTTTTGTCTTGTGCATATTGATGTAGTTATGTATCGTTTGTTTCTTGAAAAAGAATAAAAAAGTGTTTTACGTAGAGTACTGTGTTGCATTTAAGTGCAGCAAGTTAAGATAAGTCAGATTTGTTTTGCATCCTTTTAAAAAAAATCTAAAAAAACATGCTCAGGCTGGTTATCTGGCCTTCAAGAGAAAATTACCAGCTTTAGCTCCCAAACATGTTCTGTCCCGCAACTTCCCAACATGCAGCCATCTGTGTGCACGCATGCTGGGACATGCACGCTTCAATCAGGCCTCTAAATTTCTGCGGCTTTAACTTAACAACTTTTTCAGATGGTTGACCTCCCACTTCACCTCATAACTGACAGAAACTTTACAATGTCCCGTTTCACTGCCAAACCTCAAACCTTACTTTACACTCCCTGAAGCCGCTGGATTTTTACCACTCCTCTTTGGCGATAGAGCGTTTAGACATATTTATACGGAGATGGACAGTACACAACAGCTGAAAACAAACCCAAGAGCGAGCCAAAGTTTCGAATGGCAACATTTTTGCAAAAAGCAGACACTGCAGAAGAGTTGTACCTTGCTGCTCAGTTTGAGCGTGTCGATTTCTTCTCTCTGCTTGCTCAAAGTCTCATTCATACTGCACAGGTGGTCACTCATCATGCTGAGCTGGTCTTCGTAGCTCCTCTTTGTCGTAGCCAGCTCATCCTGCATGTCAGACACCGCAGTTACAATGTGCATATCTTGTGAGTTGCGAAGGACGCTAATGCCTACACTTAGACAGGAAGCCCTTTGGTAATGAGACTGCTTTTTACCTGCAAGCGCGTGATGTTCTGATTTGCCAGCTTGACCTCCTCGCTCAGAGTCTCCCGTGATTTTTCTGCAATGGTTAACCTCTTGGCCAGAGCTCGACACTAGAAAAGGGAAAAAGGAAAGTAAACAGCTGTCCCCTGATGGGTTTAATGCATGTCTAGCACAAAAACTGCTAAAAAAAGAAAGATACTTCTTCAAGTAATGTGTATATTTGAAGACAGCGCTAAAGGTAAATGCACAGTTTGAAAAAGTGACAGTTTAATACCCGAGACACTGACTCAGGATTGGGTGCACTGCTGCAAACAAGGATGACTGACATGCCAGTTAGTCACAATGCGACAGCATGTCACTTAGACAAGCATCTACATTCAGATCAAGCCTCACCGTAATGCTAAAAATATTAGATGTCAGTTTCTCGGAAATAAAAAAGAAGAAGCAACAATTGGTAATAATGGGACTCAAGAACCATTTCCAAAGTATAGACGACAAAGAGGAGAGAACAGAGAAACAACAGTTTTTTTCTAAGAGTTATCTCACTTCCCAGATGACATGTTAGAAAGTCTGTGTGTTATGAAAAGGTCAGTTCTTTGTTATAGAAGCAGTTGCTGAGATACACATTCTAGCAAGAGCTTCACCTCGGAGTGGAAGTGCACCGCTTTGCTGTCTGAAATCTGGAGCTGGGTGGTGAGCTCTCCTACTCTGGCCATGTAGTGAGTCTTTATCAGTTGCTCCCTGGACTCCTCGTCTCCCACCTGCACACACAGACAACTTCCTGCTAGATAAGATTTTTCTTCCTTCTGGGAAGCATTGTGACTTTAAAACAATTTCTTTTATATAGGAACTCTTCACTTAAATGTGTTTATGACAAGTGTCTTGACAACTCACATGCTCAACCGTAGGTGTTGTGCACAACATGCCAACCTGGTGACAAGACAAAAAGAGAGAAACCTGTCAGGAACTTCATCATGGATCAAATGCTATGAAATCCTGCTTCAAGCACAGACAGGCCTCTAACATTGCTAGCCAGGCAAAAGATGAAAACAACAAAAGGGAGATAGATGCACAAACAGTTCAGAGACTAGTGAGCTGCCCTGGATTGTGACTGAACTGTGAACTCTGTGCCGACTTGAATAAACAACAGTATTCTTCTATTCCGCCACATCAGCACATTGGAAGTCTGAGTTTTATTAAGCAAAAAACTTGCTTAGCATGGGAGCAACAAGAAAAGAACCATAATACTCCCTTTGTTGAAGCAAATCAGACACCAGTGCCATGGGCAGAAAATTTCCTCTGCAAGCAAAAACTAACAGGAACAGCAGCCAACAGAGGGACTGTTACCAGGCTGGTGCACAGCGTTGTCTCTTTCCCTGCAGCTTTCTGCTCGTCCTCTGCTTCCTCGTGGCTATGTGCGAGTGTGCTGGCTGCGGTTGTTGGAGAGTTTGGACTTCCCCCTAGAGCTGCTGCGAGCTGCGCTTCCAGGTCCGCAATGCGCTGGTTCTCCTTTTCCAACCGCACCTTCCCCAGCTGGGCCTCCAGGAGCCAGTGCTCCTTCTCCTGCTCCAGCCGAGCGATCTTCTCCTGGCTCTGCTGCACCTGCAGGATGCCGATGGGGAGAGGACAGGCTGAGCAGAGGTCGGGGGATGTCAAAGGGCAAGAAGTATTTATTAAGAAATGGGGAAACTCTCTAACAAAGCAGTTTGTAATAATATACTCTGATAAAAAAGGAATTAAAATAAGACGGAAACAAAGATTAACAAATGAAACATAATTTATGTGCCAACTTAAAAGAAGAAACAGGCTGAAACAGGCTTTCCTGCCCTGAGGTCTTGAGATTGTTCTTTCCAAAACCTGGAGGTTCATATGGGAAAAGCCCAATAAGCTTTATGTTAAGACATTCATTTTATGACTTTGTACTTGGAATAATAAATATGGTGCTGAAGTGACACATTTAAGCAGGTTGATATGGACCAAAGGACACATAAAAAATCAAATAAAACAAAGCAGACACTTGAAGCTCAGGACAGATTTTGCACAGGCTCACAGGCCAAGCTTCTCAATTCCTCACACCCTGTCCCCAAAGAGCGACTGTCTGCAACTCATTTGAAATATCATATGACTGCGTTGCATCATCTCAAGACCAAAATTTCTGCTCTTGTTTAAGAATTTCTGTGATTTCGCAACCTTTTCATTTCTTAGACACAAGTGATGCTGCTGTTCTGCTTGATTTTTTAGTTTGTCCTTTAATCGTAATGTGACGCAAAGAACACAAAGCCACAATAAATATAACTGCACATGGAACCATTTTTGACTTTATCTCTATGTTATTATGCCACTGCGTTTGGGGCAACCAAACCTGGCCGGCACACTTGACTCATCCGTGGTTACATTGTCCTGGGTGTAGCTCTTGGCCAGATGTAACCTCTTTGAGAAATGATTAGCAAAATCTTTAAATTGTTCAATCCTAAACCAACAGAGATGGTTTACACAAAGAGGTTTTCAGCCGAGTCTCATACCTGCTGAGTGAGACCTTCTCTGCTCTCAGTGGAGCTGGTAAGTATACGGCGGTTTGACAGGGCTTCTCTGTATGGAACAGACTGTGGCCTGGGCTGAATGAAGAAACAAAAGAAGAAGTAGAGTGGGAGTATGGTCAATTTTATGAATTTATTTGTATAGCGCTATTCTTAAAGTACTTTCCATGGAAAAGAACAAACAAATCAAAGTTAAAACAAGTAAGTGAATCATAAATAGGGCTGGGTATTATTTCAATTTTATCTATTCCAATTCTGATTCTACTTCTCAAATCTCAGCTCTGATTCGAACCCCTGCACCACATATCTTGTCAACACTCTGGGACATTCACCCACTTTCTCCTCGCGCATCTTCCCCTACAGAAAGGTGTTTCTGTACTAGAGGGGCATCTATATATTGGAATCATTTGCAGACATCAATTGTTTACCTTCAATATAAAAGGTGAATGTCCGCTCATCTGTGTTTTGGACCTGAGCGTGAGACATTGCTACTGTTAGCGTTAGCTGTGTCTGGGGCGTCATTGTAGCTGGGAGACCGCAACACATTGAAAACGGTGAATTCATGCCGTGTCAAGTTGGAGCTGCTTCCTCCCTTGCACGAAATATTCTAACTGCAGGTGTTGAATTTTGCTGAGTCATTATCTTTTCTTAGTGAAGCTAAGCCAAGCTCCTGAGCTTTTGCCGCGGTCCGCCGCGGTCCAGGACTGTAAACAGAAGTACGCTCTTCTCACATGCTTTATTGACGTACTGCATAACAAATTAAGTGACGTTACGTCCACGTAGCAGGTCCTGGCAGATAAGGATAAGTGACACTTATATGAACTGTAAAATGCTCACTGTAGTTCAGTCGGGAGCACCGCTGAAATATACAAAAAGTTAGGAACTGACAAGCAGAAAAGAAAAGCACGTGTCTTAGTTTGGTTCCACAGTTCTGGAACCAAACTTGGAACTGGTTCGGGTTACCCAACCCCAAACGATAAAATAAAGGAACAATAAAATAAAAGAAGATAAAAGCATAAAAATAGCAAAAGACAAATGAAATATTCACAAAGACTTAAATAATATAAATAAATAGTTCCAAAGTCTGGAGACCCGGTCACCGTTTGTCACCAAAACCTTGGTAATAGCCGGTGGATTTAAGCACATACTGACCTTTTTGATAGCATGGATATAGGCAGCTGCTTTCTTTTTGTTGGCCAGCATACTCTCTGCTTGCAAGGGGTTGAGGGCTACTGTGCTGCCTCTTGGACTGTAGCCTGATGATGTGAAGAAGTCCAAGTTGTTGCTGAAGAAAGTGGCAATCTGCAGTAAAATGGTGACATTGTGTCTCATTTCATTCAAGCAAAACAGCCTCCTTAGCTAAAGAAATACTAATTAATGCAGATACTCAGCATTCGGTTCAGCCTCAAATTAACCGGTGTGTTTACAGCAGCGATGATGACACCACCAAGTGTCCAGGATGATAAATGTCTGAGCAATTAAGCATTTGCCTGCAGAGATGATCACTCTCAAAATGCAGCTCACTCACACACATCGTGTGCCAGCATGTTTTCCAACACTGCAACCCACCGGACTGTGCCTCCCATCGGCAGACACATCTCAGCCAACGGTTCACTTGATTCACAAAGAGAAATCATTTATCCCTTTGCTCCAACTGGGGAGCAGCTGCGCAAACTGTGATTTGGACAGTATCTTTGAAGATTTAAGCGCTGCCCACCTGAGTCCTGCTGTTCTGTGTTGTCACATTAGTGGCAAATTACCAATGTGATCCAGTTGCAGAAAAAAAAAAAAAAAAAAAAAAAGAAAACTTATTGCTACTCTCAATTTAGCTTTCATGCATTACAGAAAAAAATAAAAATAGCGGCCACCATTTGATCACGCTGAAGGAAATTTAAACCTGGCTGCTGCCTGCCCCCTGTTGTCCGTACCTTGCCGGTGCTGCTGGTCAGAGAGCCCAAAGATCCCAGCAGGCACTCTGAGGTGGTGCAGAGCTTCTGGGTGACGGTGGGGAGATCCTGCTCTAAGCTGGCCTTCTGGTTGTAGTGCTTTGACATCTCTGGACACACAGGGAGTAAACAGAACAGCAGGAGAGCCATTTACAGCATCTGTTGGCATCAAGTGCTTCACCGGCAAGATTTTACACTTCCATCATCTTTTGAGATCAAAAGGCGGCTGTTTGGGGGTGCTACCGTACTGATTGGTTTGTAAATGCAGATTTTCACAATATTTTCAAATTGTAAAACTGCAGGTCTTCAGTGTATATTCAACCACAATCACTGTCCCCACAAGAACCCAGACATACAAACAAAGGACATAGATAAATAAACATGATATAAACTTGAAATATGATATTTTTTTGGGTAGAATTCAATCTCATTGTATGTACCAAATGTACATGGTATAACCAGTATACCGCTGCAACCATACACTGAAGCTACTGGATGTTTACTCTTCAAAAACTGGGCTGCTGGTTATTGTTGTGAAAACAGAAAATGAGTCTGACTTGCAGGAATGGCAACAGCGACTCAGTTGTTATGTGAGGGAATCCTTATGCTGTGTCACGCTGGTTGTGAATGGCTCCGGGTCAAAAAAAAAAGGCTCACGGGGCTGCTCACCTTTAATGGCATCGTGAAGACTGTGCAGGCAGGCCGCCAGCTGGGTGAAGACAGCTGAGGTGCTGCCCTGTGGCATGGCATCCTGCCGAACACCTGAGACACGTTACACACATTTGTAAAACAAGCGTACTGTATCACTTCACAGCACTTTTTCCTTCCATAAAAACAAGCTATTTCAAAATGCGTCAAAGAAATGAAATACAGTTCTTTACATTCATTGGTCAAGTAATATTTCTCATCCAATATCAACTGTCACTAAAAGAATTCAGCTGTATGAACTCATCTGCAACATATGGTATGTATTTCTGCCTATATTAACCTACTGGGTAAGGCCAAAAGGTTAATGTAGTTCTGTAGCTTCTCAAATGCAACAGTCACTCTCTTCACGTCACTCTGCAGCTCCTGGTTTTTCGTGGTAAGGGCGGTAGTACAAAGAGGTGCCTTGCACTCTTCTTCCAGGCTGAAAAGAGAAGAGAAGATAGCCATCAATACAGCCTCCTCCACTCCATTATTCTAACACACACATGCACACACAGCACTGACCTTTTCAGCTGATAGGGAAGAATCTTTTGCAGAAAGTGGGTGTATGAGGAGAAATTATCAGCGAAGCTCTTCAGCTTGACCACAGTCTCCTTGAATTCAAGACAAAAAAACAAACACAATATGTGGTTGATTATAAGTAAACATCATGAACAAGCCCTCACAATGTCCCTGTCCCAAAATAAACACTCACCAGTACTGTGACAGTGTCCTCTGTGATGCTTTGGTGTAATTGCAGAAAGCTGTCCTCCAGGGGGCGCACATAGGCTGCATTCTCATGTAGATACTGAGAAAACTATGTAGAGAGGAATAATGGATTTAGGGTTTTTACACTATATAAACACTTTATAGTTCAATGTACATCTGTCACATTATAGGCAGTCTGTATTTCTTGTGTATGGTTGCCTCACCTTCTGGTTAAGAGGGGAGATGGGCTCGATGGATGAGTCCAGGGGATAGATGTGCACTCTCTGTTCTGTGTAGGAGTGGAAGTTCAACAGAGCAGCCACCAGGTCCTGAATAAAGCTCAGGGCCTGACCTGCCAAGTCCCGGGCTTTAATCTAAACAGCAGGAAGAACAAACACAACGTTTTAGTCTCGTCTCTAAAAAAAACAAACAAAAAAAATATTCAGCTTGTGTGATATACGGTATGCTATGTATTTCTAAAAAACGATTGGTTGATTCACTGATTACTCAGACAAAAGAAAATTTTATCAGCAACTATTCTGATCATTGATTTATTATTGTTACCAGGTTGTTTCTACAGTAGCCAAAATGCACAAATGGCTCTACAGAGCGTGTTTTGTCACTAGGTTGAACATTATATACGAAAAAGAAGAAGAACAAGTAACGTTATTAATTGTAGTAGTAGTGGACTGGTTTATTAGAAATAAGAAAATAAGAGAAATTTGGACAATTGGAGGACCACAGGTATTGCTTAGCACAAGGTAGCTTCTCCTTCTCGCTTGGAAACGGAGGGGTGAGCGGTGCATTCAAGTGGTGTCGGAATAATTAGAATCTTTTTTTTCCCCTCCTTAAATCTTTATTGAAAAAACAGCAATAAAGTCTAAATGGGAAATAAATAAGTATACAAAACTTTTATCCGTGCAAAATCATGTACTGCATATACATATTTTGCAAACATGTAATTTGTAATATGGTTATAACAGTTTGCTGTCCATGTAGAGTGAACTAGATGTCTGCATGTTGTTTATATGCTCTGATAATGCTAATCCAACACATCTTTGTAGTTGCATCCATGTTGATTCCACATTTCGATTTAAGAGCGCATGAACACACACTGAATTCCGAAGAAGGAATTCAAAACTCTGGAAATGGGACCATCCGAGGAACACGTGAATGTACCGTGAACCTCTGGTTGCAATTCGTAACCCTCACCACTAGATGCCACTAAACCTACACACTGAAACTTTAAGTGACAGTAATTTCAATGTCTTTAGGTTTTGGACAATACAAGGAATTGAAGACGTGACCCTGGGCTGTAAAAAGGTAAAAAGCACTCTTTCCAGACATTTTATTGACCGCTTGACTGATCGAGAAAAATATCAGCAGATTAGCCAATAATGAAAATAAATGGGAGTCGCAGCCCTGTCTTCCACTATTACTGAAGTTGCTGAATTGTTGTATTTCAAATGATATGTATTATATAAGTCCTTACTTACTGGTTAACAAAAACCTTTATGTGGGTTTGAAAAACTTAAATAACTGCTGGGGAAATGCAATCGTAATTTTTGACAACAGTAAATAAGCTGTAATATTAACCACAACTATTCTCTTTGACCAATGAATGCATGCGCACTATAAACATAATAAAATGATGTTTGTTTTCTCACTCACCTGGTGCCTTCGATTGTGTGGTGGCACATTTAGGCTGTTGTAGTCACTAAACTCTGCAGGGTAGGACAGAAAAGCAGTTAAAGCAGAGCAGAAGCTCTGCCCCTACACTGTTTAGCCTCTTGCCTCCATGCGTGCAATATTACAGTTTGGTGTAGCATTACACTATTTTCTCCTGGGCAGAATGTTGTTATCGTATCAGTGACAAAGACATAAATGTGATGTCTGCTCTGTAGCAGACCTGTGGCTCAGTGCCAGATACTCACTGGTGTCATTGAAGGGCACTTTCTCCTGGATAACACTGCTGCTTTGTTTCACCTGTCTGTTCAGCTCTGACTGGCACCGCCTCACCTGCTGCTGACTGCGGAGAGAGAGCAAAAAAGTAAAAGAATTTAATAGATTATTTTACTTGGGGAATTTATTTTAATAAAAGTTAGAGAATCACAACTAGAGTAGAAGAAAACTGTAAAATACAAATTATCTAAATGGAGTTAAACTTTATGAAAATAAATCATAATCAAGTTCAATAATATGAAGAATACATTAGAGGGCTCCAGACTGCGACCAAATGCTGGCATTTTGTGACCATTTTTTGAGACAGTGTCAGTAGTTTACCACTCGCACATGTGCGACCTGCACATGTGCTCTGTGGGTAGTAACCATGGCAATGGTTTCTGTGCACTGCTTAACCTCTGACGGTACAACTGTTTTTTTATTTGTATGCTACACAAAACAAAATATATTATCTAGTAGAATTATTGAAAGATGGATGTGAGTGAGCACTGTAATCAATAGGTGTTTGTGGGTTATAGGAAAGCTTTTTGGGCTTTTGCATTACAGGCTAACTTGCTTATTATGTTCAGTGAAGGGGTGTGTGTGTGACGTCTTTTGATGCTTTTGATATGATTGATGCTTGAACAATCATCGTTTGGTACATTCAAGAAAACTCTGTAGGCCTATATCTCATTCTCTTTTTTAAAGTGTAGGCTAATTGTTTTTGTGTCCAGCCTTGTACATTTGTACGTGCTACGATTGTTGTAGGCTATTTCTCGGGGGTTTCTGAGTGTGTATGCTACCCATAGCCATAGAATACCTTGAAAACTCTGTTTAGATAGGCTACTTTAATGGTCAGTCCCAAATGTTTGTATTTTGTAATGTGGATAACTTTTTCCCCGGATAAACATGGTGGCAACATCTATACCTAGTTTGGTACCCGTTACATCAACAGATAGGGTTAGTCTACAAATTAGGGTGGTTTGCGTGAACAGTGTGGCCTGGGATGGAGTCAAATTCCTGGCCTGAATTATTGGGCCAGATCGCCCCTGGTTGGGGGAATTTACGCGGCTTAGATTTAGCAAAAACACCAACACCATAAGCTGTATCTACCACACTAGATGTGATCCTTGGAAAACCATGTTTGCTGAGGCAGCTGGCACCACACAGTCTATACAACACCTTAATGAAACAACAGCAAAATGTGACTGTGAAGTAAAATGAAACATCACATTGTAGTTTCTGTAATTACCAGTAATACGGTTAAAATGTGAAAAATTGTGTTGCAGTTTGAATTTAGGTGTGCGCCCCTAAATCTTCTTCCTGTGCTCCTAAACTTTTCAGTTAGGGGCTACAGTGCTCCTTAGAAAAAAAGTTAGCCTGGAGCCCTGAGTATGTAAACACACCACATTGGTAGATTCAATTTTTCTTAAACTGGGAATAAAAAAGAAAGATGTACCACTCTTCTGTTCGCATTCTGCACTCTTTTGCTTCCCTCTCCAGGGTCTGTGCTTTCACCTATGACAAGAAAGAAAAAATAGAAAAAAATTAATAAACTTTAATAACCTGAATGCAGCACTAAATCTAAACTTGAAGCCACTAAAGGTTGCATGGACTAGTATCTAATTGAAACACTCACACACACACTAACCGCAATAATCTACTAGTGTCTAGTGAAATAAGTTTGCCCTTTCCTTTTTGTTTTGTTTAGGTTTGTTGTGCACCGCTAATGGTCTTCAGGTAAATGCAATAATCCATAACACAGTTCATAAAGATCCACTGATTCGAACATTTCCTCACTATACACAGCGGTCAAAAAACTATAGATGCTCCCCCTCTGCCAAGCAACACCTGTCCCCTCAGTAAAAGTTCCTATGACGCAAAGCAGAAAGGTGACACCTACTGGACCCACTAGTGTTCTGCACAAAACAAAAAAACCCCCACTACCATTCACGTAACATGCTTTATTCTCACCTCTAAACGAGCCTTGTCACTCTGCAGGCGGTCAATTGTTTCCATGAACTTAGCGGTGAGTCCATCCACAACAGCCTGGTGCTGCTCGGAATCTTTCTCCAGCTCCTCTAGCCGTGCCCTCAGCTGGGCCTCCTGCCTCCTGTGCTGCTCATCTGCTTCATAGAACTAATGAGCATACAGCAGAAAACGGAGCCATCACATGCACTGCCTCCCCAGTACATTAACTGAGTATACAGGGAACAATGAAAGACCAACATAAACATAACACGGACGCTTACCTGGATATGAAGTCGCTCATTTTCTTCTATCTTTTTCTGCAGGTCCTCATCAAAAACACTCTGGGTCTCCAGGCCATGCAGCGAGGGGGAGTCACCTTTACTCTGGAGGAGGCGGCGGAAATGAAATGAGGGCTGTAAATCATGATCTTTTGGCTCTACAAACATTAGTGTTTAATCACAATCAAAAAACATGTCCCTATTAAAAACTAATGTTTTTGCTATCAAAATTATTTTATGACCATTACAAAAAATACACAATACAACCTGCTCCCTCTACCAAACTGTGTGGCCACTCCCTTCTCCCTCATGATCACCTTCCCCTTTTTGCCCTTGGCTTCACAGACAGCTAGCTCCTCTTGCAGCAGCTCCACTCTCTTGGCCAGCTGTTGGTTCCTGAAGCTGAGACTGTCCATCTCCTGCTCCTGCTTCCTCAGGCTCTGGTCCCTCTGCTTCAGCTGCTCCTGATGATGGACAAACAAGGGCATTACAATGCTGTATATGTCTTTTTATAAACCGACGCATTAATCAGATCACTACCTCTAAATCGTGATCGTGTCACTTTAATGCATTGTTGCAGAATTTGCCTTGGCCTCAATTTGTGTTTTATGTTTTACATGTTGCTTTACTTTTAGCGCGACAGAGTTGGCCTGTTCATCCACAACCGCCTTCTTCAGCACCTGGTTCTGGGCACGGAGCTGTAAAAACATACAGAGGAAAATGTTGGGACAAAAAACATAAATGTTATCAGTGATCACGACTGAGATGTAAAGGCGGTTTTCAGATAAAGAATAATGCCGTTTGAATGAAGCATTAAGCAGAATTCACATTTAACAAGAAAAATCTCATATTGCTGTTTTTTTAGCATCCTATTCTGCATAACAAGAGTCATCAAAATATTCAAACCTCTTTACTGTGTGGCTAGAGGCCTTTCATAACATATTTAATTAAGCATAATGGCAGTTTGTGTCACAGCTACGTAGTCAGCAGTTCCTGAGCAGGATATGGTGCTTGGGTAACGGGAAGATCAGAGTAAAACAGGAAACACACACGCACGCACGCACACACACACACACACACACACACACACACACACACAGCCGTCAGCTGACACAGAAACAAAGGGCACATACAGCTCACAAGAGAAAACGCAGACACACAGGCTTTACTGTCACCTGTTAACGAATGAACCTTTAAATAGGTTGAACACTGCACAATTTCTGGCTACTTGAAATGTGAATCATTAATTTCAGCTATGAAAGTCTATTAAGATCCCATTAATATTTGGCCTAAACACCATGCAGTGACCTAACACTCAAGCTGAAACACACCACGATAACCACAATCTTCTGAAATATCTAGTCTTGTATTGTATATTAATATCATATCAGTGTACAACCAGTTGCCTACATGTTCATTGGGTACACCTGTCTTGATCTACAGTCTGCATTAAATGAAAATCCTACTCAGAGAGGTGTGTTGATTCAACTGTATGATCATTTTGGAGGCTGTAGTTTGTGGTGCTGTTGAATTGTATTATGTTATACTTAAAGGTGTTTCTAATAACACCTCTACTCTAGTATTATCTACATTCACTTATATAAAGAATAGAAAAACACTCGTCCCAGTACAACGAAATATAATTAAACCTGTCTATGAACTCCATCTTCCAGTATAAAGTTCATGAAGTTGAGTCAACACCTCTAAATCAATATGACCATCATGAAGGTAGCATCTATTGCAGGGCTATTGCTTTAACTAGAGGACTAGAGTTTCAGCTAATTTAATGAACTGTGTGTCTCTTCACAGCCAGCTTCAACTGTTGAATCCACTCCAGTAAATCCCAGTTTCATAAGTGTAAATATGTTTGAGAAGCATTTGTCACTGATAACATATGCACTTTAATTCAGTACTAGAAGGTGGCTAACGCTAATAATAACAACAACACATCAGGAGCTTCTGTCTTCCAGCCTTGTCACAAACTGTGTATTTAACAATGACAATAACTTTATCAACATTAATTCCTGTGCGAACACGGGCAGTGTTTTACCTTGGAGTACTCCTGTGCCAGCTTGCTGTATTTTGTTTGCAGGTCTGTAACGTTAGCCATTGTCGCTGGAAAGGTTATCCCGTCGCTTGATGCTAGAAAACGGTGTCTTAGCTAACGTTAGCCCGGCTAGCTGATGGTTGTCCCGTTAGCTTGCCCGGTTCCTCACACCGCCAGGTTACTTGCAATTTTGACGACAGGCACGGTGAGCTGTAACGTGGCTAACTGTTACTTCAGGGCGGCTTGTTCCCTTACTTGGTAAACCTGGCCTCGCATACATTGTTACAGAGGGGCGGTCATGAGTCCCGGAGAAAGACCTGCTCGGATTTTCGCTAATTTGTAAAGCCGGATGTTATTCGCACTTCACAGCACCGCTTTTTTAAGTTAGCACTATTAACGGTGACAGCGCCTGCTAGCCGGCTAACTAGCCCACAGCTAACTAGCTATGTAGCAAAACAAATCCCGGGTAACACATGAAGGGTATCTGACAGCAGCCGTGTGACAAGCTGCGACCGCAAATCGTGTTAAAGAGTGAGTGTGGCTGCCGCTAACCTAGCGAAACAGCCGTGACAATCCATCCATCTGAAGGAATACTTTCATTTTCTAACCCGCTAAATCCCCCTCGATGAGCTCCAACTACAGACACAAGCACAGAGGTCAGAGTTCAACAAACAGGAAGTGGTGAAAGCATGGCGCCGTCTAGCGTCTGAAGAGATAGATAGATAGATAGATAGATACTTTTTTTCTGTTTATTGAAAAAAGTACAAAATATGCAAACAAGTTAGGGAATGGGTATACAACTAGTAGAAAATGAGAAAATCTACAATGGTGGAGATGATACCATAGCACACTCGAACATAGCAGCAGACAATGTAAGTTATAAACTTAATTAATAGTAATAGTAAATGGATAATTAAAGTAAGATATTTAATAGAAAATAAATAAAAACGTTTAGGAGCACAAAAGAGCAAGATGAGAGACATTAAAAAAGCAAGGATTGGGATATAGAGGAGAGCAGGTTTTTTTCCTTTCTATTCATTCAAATGTGATGATTCACGGTATCTGAAATGTGTCCAAATCCAAAATGTCCATAAAATAAATAATATCATTGTATACAAAAGAAGGTATTTTGTCAATTTCATGTACATGGACATCAGACAAAAAAGAAAGGGTGTAGGGGCAGTTGAAAAACAGGTGGTCAGTGGTTTCGGCCTTTAAAGAGCAAAAGATGCAAGGCTTCACCTCAAATTTAATCTTTTGTTTAAAAAGTTACTAACAGGGTATATTCCTGCTATTATTTTAAAGTGTGTTTCCTTGACTTTAGGAGGAATAGGACATGAGAGGTAGAAAGAAAATGACTCCTTAAAGGAACCTCAATACTATCTTGTGCAGAGCATGAATGAAAGTCTCCAAAGATTTTGGATTTAAAGACCAGACTAACTGTTCTGTTGTCACATTTTTTCATCAATGGAATATTACCAACTTTTAAGGAAGGTAATGAAGGCATGAGCAAGGAAAATTGCATACTGCTTTGTATCATTCGAAGAAGAGGAGTGGGAATTGCTTAACAGATCTTCTCATACCCCTTCCTTGCAATATTAAAATCAAATTTGTTGGTGAATTCCTCGAAGGAGAGCAACTGACCGTAGATAGATAGATAGATAGATAGATAGATAGATGTATAGATTCTTCAGTATTTATCTGACAGTATTAGCTGAAAACTACTTTGCAGGTTCAGCAGATACAAAACATATTCAAAAAATAAAATATGATGAATTTATATAGAATAAACTACACAATAGTTGTTAATTAAAGTAGTTAATGAATCAATAATAATATTCCAATGACATATTATATCTGAAAAGGACAATTCTGCATAATTACACATTTTATCCTTATATTATTATAGTATTTTGCTAATAATGTGTACTTTCAATGCAGGATTTTTATTTTAGTAATAGTAAAGTATATGATACAATGTCATTTACAATTAAGTCACTTATAAATTATTTGCTGCTGAGTTTGTGTGTGGTTTGGGTTGCATTAACAAAAACAAGGTCAGAAATCACATACAGGCTCTGTGATTTCCCTTTAAAACGCATATGACCTCGTTTAGACTACAAGTGAAATGACATGTTGCTAATGCAGCCATCAGTGCTCAAATCCTACACGATTAATTTCATCTAATCCATAATAATCTCTTCATATTTCCACCACGTAGTATTACTATTTCTTTAAAGAAATCCCAACTGTGGAGTTCTTAGTCTATCAGCTGTCAAATGTGTTTCAATGTTTTGTACCGCAGAAAAACATTTCCCTCTGCTGCTGTTTCACTACTCCTGATCTTAAATGCATGCAGGCAAAACACAAACTCTCTAACGCGCACGCCACAGCCAGCGGCTCCAGCATTGTCTGGTTGCCTGGCAACTGTTGGCGTGGCGTGGTTGCTAGGGCCGTGTGGGAGGGGGGGAGGTGATGCTGCTCTGATTTCCAGCTGAATTGAGGCAGTCAGGAGGGAGAAGCCCCCCTCTTTCAGTCAACACACAGGACTCTATTGAACAATAGAGCCGTGCCAATGGGCCTGAGGCTAGTCAGACAAGCCCTTGTTCAGGGTCACACTGTGTTCATCCCACAGTCCTCCATGACTAATTAACTTACAGCAGAGAGTGTCGTTAGGACATCTGACGATGTATCCATCACTGGCACAGCCGTGGAATTTACATTAATGTGAGATGCATTTCTGGCAGTCTGCCACGTTGGTGCATTCAAAAGACATGCAGAAGTAAAAGGGAAAGCGTGGTGGAGCAGCCACACGTAGTGCTGAGCACAGCTTGCGCAGTCAAAACAGCTCTGAACTGCTGGACTTGGTGGGAAATATTTGCCAGCTGTAACATGGTTATGTGAAAACTGAGAAAGCAGCCACATGGAGAGGTAGCTATTCTAAAGAACAGACTATTATTAGCTAGAATTTTGATCTTGTGGCCTTCACAGCAGGTGGCAATGTTGATCAAAAATGTAGCTAGTCTAGGCTACTAATGTAAAGTGATGGCATTCTTGTGTTGTGGAGTAGAGTTTAGAGGGCACAAAAAATGTGTCATGTCTTATTTGCAGTGATAAAATGCTGAAGCCGAGCAGCAGCAGCTCAGCCTGGAATGAAGAGATGCTCGCAGGGATAACAAGAACAGGTTTTTATTAATATTTTGTAATACCATATATAATGCAATTGCATATCTTTGGCGAAAATAAATCTTATAAACATTTTATCAACAGAGGTTAGCATACAAAAACCAAAAGGTGTGTCCGTCCAATAGACATGGCAGACAACTGACACAAACTGATACTGGGTTGGCAGCTTTGTCAAATACAACAAATGTTCATCATACCCATAGGAACTGCAACAGAATTTCGAGGATCACATAATCAATATTCAGTAAAAGCTGTTGAGCAATGAAGCAACTGGGTTTGGAGTTTGGTAAATCGGACCCCAAAACGTTTAGGTACACACTGACTCTGTGTCACTTTGAGACCAATATAACATTTCTTTTGCAAGTGCTACAGAAAGAATGAGCGAGCTTTTCCTCTACATAATTTCTTTGCATTTGTCCGTACACTTGAATGTCTGAAACTACACAGCAGCCGCCTGGGGGACTGAGTGAGTCTGATCCAGTTTTTAGTGAAACATTTCAACATCCCATAACAATACTTGGAAGCATGAGTTATGAGTGGCAGTAATTTGTTTTTTCTAATCTGCGATGAGATCGAGCGTTAATCTTCAATTTGTGACTACCTAGTCATAGTATCTAAACATAAACATGAGACAAATGATTCAATCATCTTCAAAGAACTTCTACAGCACATGGGGAATGTGTCCGTCTTAAATTTTATACCCCAGCTGTACATCCATTTTGGCAACAAAAGGTTTCAGGATCAATGTTAATTAACTGTCTTCTATCCAGCATAACACAAAGCAAAACAAAACATCAAGAAAACCTGGCAGTCATGGTTAAATTGAAAAAAACAAACACCCGCTCTAAAGACAATAGACATTGGCAAAATACTTAATCACTATAACATAGTGAAAGAAAAAAAAGGTGTATTGCTGTAAAATAAAACAAGAAGAAAAACAAAATACTTATTAAGAGGAGTTCACAGAGGGAGAAAAATAAATGTGCCTAGTCATTCCTTTCAAATGACCAGTATTTGATAGAGTATGCATTCAATAATCCCATAAATTAATGTCATAAATAAGGTGATGATTAATGAACAATAATTTGTTCTTTTTTTCACAGCTAAACAAGACCAGTGTATGCAAGTATTACTTCTGAGAACTGCAGCGTACTCTGCTATGAACAGTTCCCACTCTCAAGCGACAAAAATAAACCAAAGGATTGGTTAAGTCACTGCACTGACCAGAGAGTCCTCTCCCATTTCCTGTTCGGATGATTCAGAAAACTAGGGCATTGTTACTCTAAATCACACACTACATTTTGGCAGCAGGGGAATAGAGTAACCCTTTTCAGTTTTACATCAGTGGCACAAGAAAACGTTTGGCACTGACCATGCATGCTATACTAACTGACACAACGTGATCTAGTCCTGCGGGAGAAAAAAATGATGATATTTTCGGCTTGTTACCCTTGTGCGCTTCCATGCTACCTTTTATTGTACGCTGCCTTTTTAAAAGCTCAAATGAGAATTGTGGCCTTTTACACAAGTGCCTCGCAACTTCCCCTCAGTGAACTGCATGCAACCAACTGACAATAAACACTCCATTTCACAGCTTGAGAAGAGAGCGTGCACTTCCTTATTTTGTTGTAGGAGGAAGAGCAAGGACGAAAACACTGGTGGCCAGCCAGAACTGAGGGCACAACATGAGAGCAGCACAGGTCTTCAACAACTCGCCTGCGAGCGACTGCACATGCAAAGGTCTCTCGGGCCATGACTGTATTGTCCCCTTCTTGTTCTTTTTAACAGACACACCATGCCTCAGGTTGTGAATGAACTTGGCCACGGGATCAGCCAGCATTAAAATGAGCTAAAGTACATGGTTCAAAAAACAAGGAGAACATAGGGAGGTATAATCAAACTGCAAATCCAAACAATGCTGTGGTAATTTACTGTCTGCTCCAGTTTTTGACTATTAACCAGCTCTGCATTCAAAAAGGACCAGAAGCAAGCAGGCCCCACAATACAGCTATAGCAAGGGAGATCTGTCATTACACCAATCACAGTCATTGGAGCAGTATATCTACATTGTCAGTGAAATAAAAAGTGGATTTGACCATTTTCTGTCATGACCATCATCTCATGGTTCAGGCTGAAGTCGACATGCACTATGGTACACACACACACACACACACACACACACACACAAATCTATGGAGGATAACCTATGAACACGCAGTGAACATCTGGCAATATGTGGCAGATGTTCGCTTTGCATAGGCTGTCACCAAACAAGTGAATATATGTCTGCACATAAATGTCAAAAACACACCGATGAATGGAAGGGATTGACAGGACGAGAACTGGATTTGCAAAAATAATTAAAACAACTTTCATTTGTATAGCACTGTTATGGCCGCACAAAACTGAGCGAAGTAGTATAGCTAACTTTGCAACTAAATTTGGCAGTGGCGGAGTAATACTATTTGCACATCTTGCT